TCAACATCCAGGCGACTGCCTTCTTCAGACTGTGCCAGTCGGAGTAGTGATGAGTCAGCTTGAAAAGAGGGTCTGTGCTTGAGTCGATGGTCTTGATGACGTTCACGCTGGTCGTACGCTTCACCTCAGCGTCGTCTTCACTTATCTCTCTTGAGAACTCTGATAAGACTGGCCAGTGAGACTCACTCTTGGCTAGGAAGTCAGGACCTTCAATCCAGCTCCGACACTTCAGGAAGTGCTCTGCCTTCATTCCTCTTGAAGCGTGATCAGCTGGGTTAGAAGCCGTGTTGACATACTTCCACTGTGCTGGCCTTGTGTTCTCTCTGATTATTGACACTCTGTTTGCCACAAAGGTTTTAAAACGAGCGCCGTCGTTGTCGATGTATCGAAGAACGGTGGTGCTATCTGTCCATAGCACGGACTCTTTGAGGTCCATCCGAAGCTCTCGCCTCATGAGTTTATCCATTTTCACCGCAACAGTAGCCGCGGTGAGCTCAAGGCGTGGGACTGTAACTGGTTTAAGCGGCGTCACTCTGGATTTTCCGAGAAGAAATGAGCAATGGACTCGACCATGGCTGTTCTGGATGCGGAGGTAAGTGACGACGCCGTAGCCCTTTTCGCTAGCGTCTGAAAAATGGTGCAGTTGAGCTGACGTTAATGGCCCGAATCCCTCGGGCTTGACGCACCTCCTGACAGAGAAGCTGGCGAACTGGCTCAAGTCAGACAGCCAAGCGAACCACCTGTTCGCCACGTCTTCTGGAATCTCTTCGTCCCAGGTAAGCTTCATTCGATAGAGACTCTGGACGAGGGCCTTCGCAAGAAGAATGAACGGCGACAGGAATCCAAGGGGGTCGTATATTGAGCTTACGACCGAGAGGATACCCCGTCTTGTTATGGGCATGTTCTTCACATGGATCCGGAACTTGAAGGAATCTGATTCTATGCACCAGTCCACTCCAAGGGCCCTTTCCATGGGTAGTTCATCTCTGTCCAAGTCTAGATTCTTGATCTCCTTCGCTCTCTCTTGTTCTGGAAGTGATGACAGCACTTCGCGACTGTTGCTTGACCACTTAGTCAAGCGAAATCCTCCACTTTCACAAAGTGCAATGAGTTCTTTAGTCAAGGTTTTAGCCTTATTTTCGTCGGACGTTGAAACCAGGCAGTCATCGACGTAGAAATGCTCTAGGACTGTGGCTACTGCTTCAGGTGATGAGCTGCCTTTCCCATCCTCTGCTGTCCGTCTTAAAGCGTAGTTGGCACAGCTCGGGCTTGACTTGGACCCGAACAGGTGGACCACCATCTTGTACTCGTGCAGAGGCTGGCTCAGATCCCCCTGTGGCCACCAAAGGAATCGTAGAAGATCGGAGTCCTCGTCGTGGACTCTTACTTGATGGTACATCGCTTCAATGTCGGAGATGAGTGCTATGTGTTTGTGTCGAAACCTCGTCAGGACTCCAACCAGGCTATTAGTTAGGTCAGGACCCTGCAACAGTTCGTCGTTCAGTGACTTCCCTTGAAATGAAGCGGCACAATCGAAAACAACCCGCAGCTTTCCCTTTTGTGGATGAGCCACGCCGTGATGGGGAATGTACCATACTCTGCCGTCGTTGCGTTTGCGCTCGTCTTGAGGAACTCCCACCGCGTAGCCTTTGTTCAGCAGGTCCGACATGAAGGTCTTGTAGTCGTCATGGAAGCTGGAGTTTTTGGCGAGTTTCCTTTTCAGGTTTGATGCTCGTTGCTCGGCAACACATTTGTTACTTGGCATCACCACGTTTTTGTTTCTGAGGGGCATCCTAATACTGTAGTGCCCATTGACTTTCTTGATTGTCTCCGTCACAGACTTCATGAACTGGACGTCTTCTTGCGACATTTCTGACTTTTCTTCACAGGATTGTTCTGGAAAGTCGTGATTGTATTGTTGCAGTAGCATGCTATCCACGTCGCTGACTGAGATTCTGTTGACTGAAGCCCTTTGACTGTAGTGACTTGACTTGTGGTCATTGTCACCTTTCTTGAGAGGACCATTAACTACCCAACCAAGGGTCGTCTTCACTGCGTAAGGCCCGTTGTCTTTGCTGTGAATTATCTTCCATGGCTCCATCGCAGAGTGAGCGTTCGTTCCAATTAGCATCTCAACATCTGCGTCGATCTGTGGTAACTGCACTTCTTTCTGCAGATACGGCCATCTTTCCAAGTCCTTTTCAACAGGAACATTGTCCTTCGTTACAGGTATGTCTTTGTGGGTATATACATCTGGCAGGCTTATGTACTTGTTCTCTGTCAGGCCGCACACTTCTAGATCTGAGAGCACGTAGCAGGACACAGGCTTCTCCTGGCCCATAGTACGGAGTAGCACTTGAGTCTTCTTACCATGGACGCCAAGCTGTCTCATCAGCCTTTCGGAGCAAAACGTAGCAGAACTTCCTGAGTCCATGAACGCGTACGTTTCTATTGTCGTGTTGCTCTTCTTGGATTTGATGCGCACGGGCACGATAGACAGGATACAGTCGCTGCCTCCGGCCCCGGTGACTGCCGTGACTTCACTCTTGGCTGACTCGTCTTCTCGAGAAGTTGAGTGTCCACTGGTATAGCTTTGACCTCTCCCAGGTCTGATGTTCTCTTGGTCGGTGCCCTCGTCCCTTTTGCTATGAAGCAGGCTTGGATGTTTCTTACTGCAGAATTCACACGTGGCTCTCCTTTTGCAGTCCTTTCCCATGTGCCCTTGGGTCAGACACCCGAAACAAAGTCCTTGACTTTTAAGGAACTCAATTCTCTCCTTGTTTGGCAGACTTCTTATTTTGTTACATGCACTCAGGGTGTGTCCTTTGTTGCAGTACAGGCATGGCTCTTGAAACGCGTTGCTTGTCTGTTTGTTTTTACTTGGTTCTGAGGCATTCACTTCGTCTGGCTTAACACTTGTAGCAAAGCCAGTGGTTCTTTTAGGTCCGCCCTTCTTGGCGGGTCTAGTGCTTAATTTGCCCTTTTCGTTTACTTCAAAGGACTCTTTCACATCACCAAACAGTGGGTCTGAAGCTATCTTTGCTTGTCTGTTGATGAATGTCGCGAGATCTGAGAACCTTGCCCTTCTTCCTTCCCTTTCCTGTATGTCAAAAGCTATGACTCTCCATCTTTCACGAAGTCTGAAGGGCAATTTTGAGACGACAATCCGAAGATTGCTTGAGCTGTTCATCTCCTCGAGGTATTCCATGCTCTTCATGACATTGTTGCATCCAGTAAGAAAGATGGAGAAGCTGTGAAGTGACTTGGCGTCTTCTGCTTTGATCTGAGGCCAGTTGATAGCCTTGTCCGCGTAGGCCGCAGCTATTTTCTGCTCGTTGCCAAAGTGATGGCTCAAGAGCTTTCTTGCTTCCATATAGCCTTGTTGTGTGCTCATATGTTGGCAGCTTCTCACAAGTTCTCGTGGTTAGCCGCTGGTGAATTGCTCAAGATAGTATAAGCGGTCTTCATCATTGTCTGTGCGACTTTGAATGATGTGCTCAAATGCCCTCATGAACGGCAGGAACTCGAAAGGATCGCCACTGAATACAGGGACTTCTCGTTGAGGTAGGTTGGCTAGTCTCTGTTGTGTGACTAACATCTCTGTGATATCCTTCTGGTTCAATATCACTTTGTCTGGTTCAACTTGCCTTCCATTGCAACTTGCACTTGTGTTATTGTCGCGTTCGTTACTCACTTGCACATACGACGTGTGTCTAGTTGGACTGTAAGATGCATCGTTGTCTTGAATAACTCGAAAACTGCTGGTCGACTTTGGTTTGACATCTGGAGCATGATGTTTGACGATTGCTGCTGTAGGCACGTTCTTGCCAAGGTAAGAATTCATACCGTCGTCGTCCGAGTTTTTGTTGTCGTAAGCTTCCAGAACCTGTAGCTTTGCTGTGGACTCTGCAATAGCAGTTTCAATGTCTAGCTCCTCCATTCGAGCCTCTAACTGAATCTTCTTGGCTTTCATCTGTGCTTCTTCCAACTGCAGTGCCCGTTTCTTCGTAAACGCGGCTGCGCGTGCGAGTAGGGCTGCACGATTAGCTTCCTCTATTCTACGCAGAGACGAAGCATGAGAGGACGCTTTGGATGACCTTGAGTGTTTACTGCATACACTACGTGCTGTGACTGAACTATATTTTTCTTGTACAGCAGAAGCACTGTCATCTGGATCCACATCTTCGACGACAGACTCACCTTTCTGTGTCGTCGTGTCATTTTTTGCAGCTTGTTCGTTAGTGGCATTGGAGTGCCGTTTTGCGTTAATTATCCACTGCTCCAATTTAATCAAAAAGTTCTCATGCTTTGATCGGTTTGGCTCGCTCCAATACTGCTGGTCAGCCTTTCGTTCATCATCTGATAAGAGTTTACTAACCACATTGTTTACTTCAATAAACTCATTCAGGAATTTTGAGTAATCACCAAGATGATCCTTTTCCACCAGAAGTGCGTTGGACTCAATTTTCATGAGGTTTTCTATTTCCTCTGCTTTGGAGACAAGGCGTGCTAACACACGTTTCCTATGATTCATATGTTTATCAAGTTTCTCTTCTAAGGCCTTTGTGGTCAACTCGATCCTTCTTTTCGTGTTTAGCTCGACATTTCCCTCCATCTCAGTTTCTTCTTCAGACATTTCAGCTGGCTATTAACGCTAGAATAGTCTCTTATAGCAAGCTCTTGCAAACTTCTGAAATCCAGATTAACAGTCCTTTATCCTCAAAGCACGTCGATGCTTTCCAAATATGAGATTTCAGAGCCGTATTTATTTCCAGAATTTACAGAGAGCTTCTTATGGGCTAATATGACTGGTTAGCAATAGCACTATTAGCATAATGTCCTGTGTGGCTACTGGCTAGTAGCAATAGCTCGGCCACGTTGACTACGTCGACTATGACGGCAGAGCTATCCTTATTTCGCCATAACTAGCAAGGTCTGCAGCTATAGCTTATCCATTCATTCAATGTTGTTCCTTGTTTACTCAACCGTCATGTTGAAGACGTCTGGAAATCCGGTTGGGTGCACGGCGTTGTCGCTGCAGCAAGCTATCTCTCGTCAACTCGTGTCCCGCGCCGCGCGTCTTCCCTCGGCTTCGGATGATCTTGTCTCGCTTTCGGCGACTGTTTTCTACTTAATGTAGTGGCTAAAGTTCCCTTCTTAGGTTCGGCAGTTGCTTCTTCAGTTCTTAATTTCTTTAACCACTCCAAAACGGAAAGAACGAGTCTACGCGTGTTTAATGTGTTGAACAACGGTAGAAAACAGTGTGTTCGCTCCGTTCGCTTTACTGAATGATCTGACAGAGCAAAATTACACAGCGTTTTCTCGCTTCGTCAAAGCACAGGTGCCTTACGTCATAAGTCAGTGCGCTCACTCGCCTCACTCCTATGTATTACACCAAGCATGTACACTAAACGTGTATTAACTAACATGCGAATTATGAGTACAATTATGTAATCACAGTGTAATTATACTTATGATATAATAAATCATCAATAAACATGAATCTAAATAATATCAATCTAAATCTAAATTACGACATGGAAAATGGCACTAACAGTAATGATCAACCTGTCAGTCTGTTCTGGTCATATGCACGGCCTGTCAATCTCTGTGATTTCGGCTATGTCAGGTCTCAAAACACACAGTTCATTCAATAAACAGGAATATACAAAATAAATTAAAATAATGATTTAACAACTCTGCAATACAAAATTATATGTGACCAAATGGACACTTAAAATACTTTGGAATAATATCCAGACGTGACAACGCCACTCTCTTTGAGGGGAGAGACCCTGAATGAAATTATTTTACTGGCCAAAAACCCTATGCAAGATAAACCATAGACGGACAGAGGCTTCTGCGTGTACAGTGCAATATCACTTGTATTTAAACAATTCCTTTATAAAAACACATCAAAATAATGTATACCAATAGTGATGGACCGGGGGCAACAATGACACTTCCAACAATAAAAACACTGCACACTGTTAAGGAAGGCTAAAATAACCACCACTGCAAACAAATAGCACTGCGGATTATGTTGGGCACAAACAAATACTATTAATTATCCTGGTAAGTATACACAACACAATAGAAGTGGGGAAGGGGGAAGAAACGGTCATCAAAAAGGCACAATATCAGTTTGTTATTTTTATAAATAGAGGGCAAGATGGAGGCACTAGAGCAGAATACTAAAATAAAACTATAGTCGGAGAAAAAGAGCAGTGGCTGCCCTGCTGACCACTCCGTGTAACCAGTTCAGCCTGCAATATACAAAACAGCCATTAATCACCGAGTACCTATCATCCTCATTACACAATGCATAATGTGCTGGCAAGCCCAACTTCCTACCTCCTCGGCTCAAGGCACCGGTGCATCAGCAGGTAGGACTCTGGGCTCACCAGGTCTGGGTCAGGTCTGACATTCTACCATAGGAAACAAAACATTATATTAATTTCCCCATGGCATACAGGATGTAGATTAAAATTGCACAACCTACCTCCTTAGTATAGTTTGCTCACACACACACGGTACTGGCGAGCAACAAAGAGCAACCCAGACTTCAGCACATGCCAGACAACGAGAACAAACGTGAGTTGCTCAGCTCTCACGGGAACTCCTTTATATGGAGAGGCTCTCCTTGAGTTTAAGCCTCCCGCTCTGTGCTGAGGCTCCCAGGTCCTAAGGTCCCACCCTTCACATATACATTTATTTTACCTTACATTTAACACGTTTTCTCACTAGTCCATAGGATCTGCAGTAATCTTTCCTGCCTGTTTCCCTGCCTTTCAGATGTACAAGTCCAGGGTGGAGGGCAGTCTTGTGGCAATCATTCTCTCTGCGGACCTGATGATTCCGTTGTGGTCTTGTTTGGTGGCCAATCCAAACCACACAGCGATGGAAGAACAGCGAGTAGACATGATGGGAGAGTAGAAGAAGCAACCCCGGTATGATGGTGTTGAATGCAGAGCTAAAGTCCACAAACAAACAGATCCCCCCAACACCAGCTTCTCCAAGGGTTTCATCACCACAGGCGCAGGACGATGGGCCTGTAAAATGTCATCATCCGTTGATAGTGGACCCTATTGGGTTACATAGTTTGTCCTAACAAGCACGGCCGCACTGGTGATCATGTCATGTAACACTGTGTAATTATTTTTGGGAAATATTCTACAGAGATCGCCTATCACCTTTTAAGCTCAATGACAATGTTAATGTTGTGTTAACAAACTGTGATACTAGTTTTTTTTAAAATGGATTCAATTATCTCAAATGAATCAGTAATAGCACACTATCAAACTTTAGTATTGGTCCACAGCTACCTGGTTGAAGAACATTACTTACTTTTCTCAATAGATCTTTCAAGAGAAGACAATATAGCTGCTAAAATGTCACTTGTCTTTATTAAATAACTTCTTGATAGATTCTTATCAATAATAATTTATTCTACATTTGTACTAGTTTTTCTGCTTCAAATCCCTATTCAACTTAAATCTGAACACTAAGCGACTAAGGTTACAATAAGTGCATTTCAAACATAAGGATGCAAACTCAACATGAACATAAAAGTGCAATTTCATCATGGGAAGGTGGCGACGGTTCATGTGACCGGCCGTTCACATCGTAGGACGCTGGCGACTTCATGAACAAATACAGAATCCCTTTGTGTTCATTTCTAAAGCATCGCATTAGGACATACATCACTTTATTATTTAAGACGCTGCGCTACTTGCAGGTCGCTGTGTTGTGCCCGATTCTCAATAAAGTTAGAAACAATGATTTACGGCGAACCTGTGGTCGTGAAGATACTCATTAACATGTAATTTGCATGAGGCGGGTCCATGTCTCCACTGAAAAAGGATCACCGGAGCTGTCCCCTCTTGATGAGATCGGCGTCAGGGGTAAAGGCACGTTTCGAAGCACAGCTTTTTGGGAGTAAACAATAACCCCCCTCCAGTGCAGTCGAGGCAGCGCCATCTGCCCTTAAACATGCCGATGGTGCGCTGCACTACAGCGCGAATCCTTCCATGTGCCACATCTTCTAAGAGCGCAAGATCAGCCATTACGCGTCATTACGCATTGTGATGGCATCATGGCATTTTATTACCGTCCATTTGATTGCATTTGACAAGCAACAGCTGTGCTTTGAGGATGAATTGCATAACATGCCAATATTATTGCAGAACATATTTCACTTTTCTTTTAGAAAATGTGTTTATTTGTATTTCTGTTTGTTTTACGCTGCAGATCGATCAAACGGGTGTTCGTGTTATTTTCAGAGAGGCAGTATTGGCATTTCACTTACACAACAGTCTAGTTTTACACACTTTCACACACGTTTGCGTGTTTCGTGCATTTGCCGACGGTTCTCATTTCAAGCGTTTTTGTGCGTACGCATGGGTCCGAGCTTGCGTGAAGGACCGCACATTTTTCCGTCAAGTTTGCTTTCTATAAATACCAATTATTGCGTAGAGAGCGGCGTACGCCTGCTTTTGTGCGTACGCAACGTTTATAAATGAGGCCCTTGCTCTTATTCAGCGATTCATGCTAAGTAGGATCCCAAACAGCTCGCTAAACAGAACTTTGTCTCTGGTGTCAATGGTTTTACATCCAATCTTAAATACAGAGAAGAGAAAGGGTTGATTCTTAAGTCTCGCGTGCCTACGTCTCCTCAAGGCAATGCAGGGTAAAAGCGAACCAACCCAGAGACCGGGAGCAGAATGTTGTGCTTCTTGTTTTATCATCACGCCTAAAACAAATTAAACACACAAACACATTTGAACCATGACAGACTGACGCCAGGCTGGTTTGTCAAACTGGTTTGTAACTTCTTTGAATCAAGCCACCGAATCCCTGGTTACTCGTTTATGTTTGTAAAAAAAAAGGATTAAAGGACAATGGATTAAAGAAAACCTATATTCTGATCTTTGATGTCTTATATTTGCCAGTTGCAGATTTTATTTTTCCAGATTCAAATTTTATTTTTTCAAGTTTACAAAATTTTCATATACAGACTTTCCGGCTTTGATCCGTCTTGATTCACTGAGATGGATGTCTAATTATCAATGACAGCTTAACAAAGAAGGCTAAAAACCTCCTCAACCGAAAGTATTGTATCTGAAATTATAAAATCTGCAACTGAAAAATATAAGACCTTAAATATCAAAAAGTGAAGAATGAAAAAAAGTGAATTTGTCCCATAAATCCTTTTTTCAATTATTCTTAATTTGAATATATTGCGCAAATGTACCTGTTCCCTTTTCCAATCAAGTGAAGTCCAGTCTAGTCAAAGGGTAGCTTTAACCAATTTTGACACGTTTTAAATGCTGGATCCCTTTGACATCCTGATATAGCCTTCAATAACATATTGTAAAAAAATATATTACGTATTCAGCGAGTGCGGGCTTCCGGGTATCAGTGGAGGATGGGGCTAAGTGAATGGTACACTACCCTACCAAACCCTAAACAGTCAACTGCTAGTGTGTTGAATATAGCGGCACATTAGATCAAGAACAAAATAGAGCTAAAAGGGAAAATAAATATTAAACACAACTCTAAATGAATGCCAACATATCTTGGTGTCAACTGGTATAAAAAGGGGCTGACTTTTGAAACATTCCACCAGGAGACCGTAGACATGCCAGGATGTATGTATTTAGAAGCCGCACACCTGTAAAAGAGCTTCTCCTCATTGGCTCTGATGTGGTTTCATTTCTCCCATGACGTGGTTGATTCGTGTATCACAGCTCGGTTTCTTTGGTTTGTAGCAGAACCAAGGCTCGCCTGTACGAAGGTCAGTGTAGTTTTACAGCAGCTGTTTTTTGTTGGCCGCAGACAGACGTTACAGATGGTGGTTTCAGAGAGTGAGCCTGAGCGGAAGAGGCTCTGGAATTAAGTCCTGTCAGGCTGTTCTCTGTTCAGCCTGTCCGGCACTGACAAGGCCTCACCAGAGGCACCTGATTGAGATTTTGTTAAATTTTGTTAAATCACATCAAAGCTCCTCAAATCATTAAAGATGTCTTCAAGTTCTCCACCAGATTGACGACAGTCAATCATTTCTATGAATGTTTTTTCCTAAACACTTCCCTAATTAGCAATTGTCAAATCCAAGCTCATCAACAGTATGTCTAAATGTTGATTTGGTATAAATGGGACTGTAGGAGTGAGACTGCGTTTTAGGATAGTGGGTTGTCCTTTTTTGAACCTGTTAAAAAGCAAAAGGAGCTGTTTGAGATGTTAACTTGGTTGTTAGTGTATTGAAAACAGGCTACTGTAGAGTGTAGCCTACCCCAAACAAAACCCTGCTAAAGGCTCTCTCATGTCTTCAATTGTCATTGCCAATCTGAGGTGCCTTGACTTGTTCAATCTCTCGAATTACCTTCCAATTGTCTTTGAATTGTAAAAGCGAACCCGCCCAGAAAGAAAGACTGCAGAATGTTGTGCTTTGTTTTATTAATCACGGCCAAACCCAATAAAACCCATCTCAACAATGACAAACAGACAGACGTCAAGCTGTTTGACGTCAACCCTGTAACCCGTATCCCCAGGTTTATTATGTTTACAAATAATAAAGAACTATGGATTACAGAAAACAGACATATGTTTCTTCCAGACAAATGTTGGACCGTTTGAGTTTATATTTTTGATGCCAGACATTCCTTTACTTTCAGCGTTGTGGAATCTTTCAGAAGTCACTTGGAATAACGAGATGTTACGTGCCTTGTTTGTGTTTGCGTGTGTGTGTGTGTCTGTGCGAATGGGTGTGATTCTCTTCAGGTGTGCTGGCGACGTCACTCCTGCAGCTGATCAGTATGGGATTAAATGGATGTGCCAAGCCAGAGTGGGGTGTTGCTTCAGTGGAAGCCAGAGCGGAACCAGAGAGGTTTTAAGGCCGGCGCGTTGCTTCTGCGTCGTTGCGTCAACACACTCGTTTCAATTCATGGTTCTAAAAGTCTTGCGTGTGTTGGAGAGAAATTCACCGCCAGAACAACAGGTAGAGTAACGTGTTTTGTTGAAGACGACCTAGAGAGTCATGTCTTCATGTGTGGAAGTTGTTGGTTTGTTTATGTATCAAAGACTTTATTGCCCCGTGCATCGCCACTGCTGCTTTTCATCTCCGACACATTTGTCCCGTATTTTCCTCCACAACTTTGTTCCCCTCGACCAGCAAACTGGCATTTGCGGAGATCTTCGTCCATGAATCCAACCCGCTTAGACAACCCGCCAATGACTGCGTGTATAAGCGTATTTACGCATTTCTTCCGACAAAAGTTCTTCAATCTGATCCGTTCTCTCCTAAACAGTCTTTGTTTTAATAGTGGTGGTATTGTGCTATGAAAACGGAAATGTGAGACTCCGTAAAGGATGTAGTTAGCTGACGAATCGCAGCTTTGTGCGCTGCGGGAGGGAAAAATGGGTCGACGCACGCAAGGGACACTCAAGGGGGTCTTGCGTCTGCGTCGCTCGGAAAACGCAGAAGCATAAACTAGGCTTTAGGTGCTGCCGTGAGGTGGTTTTGGGAGCCAGTGAAGAAGGGGCCATACGCGTCGTCCTTTTGGAGATTGTTTTCAGTTGCCTTGTTGTGTTTTCCATCATTAAATATCCTCTTTTGCCGTTGGTCCAAATCTCCTGGGTTTATTATTTTAACTTGTTTACGTCCTCCATCCCTAGACACTTTAGGGACGTAACACGAGACAACACTGAGGAACCAGATTTTTCTTATTCAGATTGTCTGTAGCCTACCATTTATTTGTGTGACTGAGTGAATCATTTAATTTTAAAAGTCTGCCTAAAGTTAAAAAAACAATAGCAAATTTAGTAAAAATAGTAAGTCTAAATTGATTGTTAACAATTATCCGCAGCTTTTAGAAACTTGCACTGTACATAACTATTGTGGTTTAAATAACGACGTATTGCTGTCTGGAGTCATGATTGCTATTGCAAAAGGTTTCTTTAACATGAAACATGACACTCCATTGTTCCTGCATTTATACTTGACTGTGACGTAGATTCAGAATGCAAATCTGTTTGAAGTCACTAACTAAATAAAGGCTGAAAGTCACGCACCGAGTACATTGAGTCGGTAAACCGGTTAAAACAAGTGGCGATTCACATCCTGTCAGTTAGAATCTCCAAAGGAATATTTGCTCAGGTAAGTCACATGAAATGTGTGAATGAAATATGGAGCCAATTTTCAGTTATATTGTAACTTATGTGCTTGTTTGACATTGCATTTGACTTCTACTACATTGATCCAATTGTGTTATTTAACTGTATTATTGGATAGTTTCTCAATTTAATATTTACATAGTTAAAAATATATGACCGTGTTCATAGAATCAAACTTGTTAGTAAAAGTATCAGGATTAAAATACACCAGAAAAGAAGCAAGAAGCTGATTATTTACTACAAAGTTTTGTTGCAAAAAAAGGTGTTCTTACAACAAAAATATTAGACATACTGTCTATTAGAAGAGTTATACTTGACACAGGTGTAAAATCATTAAACAGGATCTTTAATGTTTGCAAACAGAAGACAGAATTTAAAGACATACAAGTCATGCATGCATGTCAGGCTGACATGATACAATATCCTGACCTTAATACAAGAAAAGCGACTGAAAAAGGTGTCTCTGCTTCCTTTTAGTGCCCCTTTGTCACTGGAAAGTCAAGCTAGATCTAGCTTTGTCATTTCAGTCAAAAAAATTGCAATTCAATACCAGAATTATTTGCCGCTTGTAGTGGAAATGCCATTTTAAGCACTAAAGGCAGGTGATCTAATGTTTTACAGTTTATTTTGTATTATTTAATTAACTCTGTTACCCACAATGTCTTCATCTTAATTGTGAACTTCCTCAACCTTTTTAAAATCAAAATGCCTTCCATCAATCCAAAGATGAATGAGGAACTTTTTTCTCTTTTAAAGACTTATTTGGATTATGGTGTGTAAACAGATAAACAGTTGCAAGTCAACTGGACTGCATGACAAAAGAAACAACTTTAATAGGAAACGGTTTAATTGGGGATAAAAGACTCAAATTATCCGGTTCGACCAAGCATATTACATACAATGCACAGCTTCAAGACAAGTCAAATACCTTCAACAAATAAATGGTAATGCTACAAGGGAAATTTCCGCAAATTGTTACGTTGAGACTGTTTTTTTTTTTGTAATAGTAGATATAAGTAGAACCCCTCTACTATGATGCAAACGTGTGAGGGGGTACATATCCTCGTTCGGTGTCAAATTCTTTTTTTTTTCCTTGAAGGCATTTTGTTTTATGTGGAAAATTTGCACAGACAATGGGAGAAGAGGAATGACGTCTCTCAAACCAAATATATCTTTCTCTGTTCATTTCCTTGCAAGGGAAAAAAAAGTCTTAACAGCTACGTGCTCACTAGTAGGAACAGTTTTCATTTTACAATCAGGCCGGACCAGTTTAATCATCAGATCAGTTACGGGTGGTTTCAACCGAAACTTGCTTACGTCAAACACATCAATGTGAACCAACTTATTGCTGCCCTACAGCAGCAGATGACAGCAACATGTGGGATCGGTCACTCTTGATCTTAAGGCCTGAGCTGACTCCAAGTCGGGCGAGGCCTTATTGTGTTTCTGAAGAATTATTCTTGTTAAGGCCTGAGCAGACTGAAAGTCGGGCTAGGCCCCTACGTGTTTCGAAGACTGATTATTAGGGGAGAGCGGGATAATGGAAGACACTTTTTCCATTTGCTCTTCTCTAGGCGAGCTACAATGGTATATCAGTAAAATTGACACATTTCCCATTTATTCAGGATGTTTCCTAGCAAAGGAAATTACAGAATGTCTTCAGGACAGAGGGCAGTGAAAATATGATTGTTTTTTTAACAAGTGGTCTTGTGTCTCACTTTACCCCAGCTTAGCGGTAAATCACTATTGCCATGTAATGTTATAAAAAACTACGAGTGTCAGAAAAATTCTCACTCGACACCGGCGTAAAATCATCAAAACAGGTTATTTAATGTTCGCAAACAGACAGAGTTGACACACATACAAGTCATGCGCCAAGCCTGCTCAAAGGTTTTCATCTTTGGAGCAGGAATATATACTGCAGGTATGGCATCAAAACATAGGGATGGTTACGCACGTACAGAGGACTTATTGTTTACTCTCACGGGACAGAACGTCCGTCCCGAGGCCAGCGCCCCTAATCTCTGCAAACAAAATGTCTGCCAGCTGGGTAGCAAAAACCTTGTGTAGTCTAGCCCTATTGATATCATGACACACATTATTTACAGTTTGTCTATAGCGTAGAAATTTGAAAATAACTACATTAACCTCTGATGCCCAATTGACATGAAATTTGCCACACATGTGCTACAAAAAAAGTCAATCATGGTATTTAAATTCGCCTACTTAGCTTTTCCACCATTTTCAATTTAGTAAAAACTAACTTTTGGCTTCCAGGTCTCCTAAACGCTGATTCCATTACTCGCAGGATTTTCTGTGGATAAATATTGGTTCTATGTCATCAGAAATCATATAAAGCTTGTTGATATCTCATTGTTTTCAGACAATACGGGACAATGAACTTCTATGGGGAGTGGCTTAGTATGTCAAGACTCAGAACGTCCAAATGACTCTGTATGCCCTCACCACATTTGTAGCATATGTATATAGTGCACCCCTAAACCTATGATATTTAAAGACTCTGGGACATTGCAGTTAATCGTTTTTAGTTAATTTTTTTTTTTTTGTTGCCCATTTCCATTGTTTTTTAGAGTTGTAAAAGACCAAACTCCTCCCAGAGAATAAACCTGATTCTTTTCCAATTTGAGCAGTGTGATCTTGAGCTTTGCCTTTAAAGATTGCATAAAACTTAAGAAATATGAAACTATGTCTGCGGAATCTGCTCCACATTTCTCATGTGACATGACATCCTTAGCCTGTTCCTCGCAAATTATTCAGATCCCTCCCAAATGTTGACAGAAAAGACCTAAGACCATGATAATATTAATGATAAAGTTTGCAAAGTTTCATTCTCGGCGTCTCTCCACGCGGTTAATGACGACTGACTTGCGGACGCTTTGTCCGGCGGCCTCAGGCATTCTCGGCCGCGTTTGTAGCCGGTGCCCCAATGTGCGCGGTAGCAAGGACTTGAAGGTCCAGCCATCAAGTATCATCTTGAGGTTATTTGACATGGTACGTCAGTAGAAATGGTTTATTTCAGTATGGTGAACAAAGTAAGCAGAAATGAGTTAGTTTTTTTTAGTTAAGAAATAGTCATCAACTATATTTGATCTTGTAACAGTATTTGTAGTAGATATTTCAATGTAAACATTGACAACAGTATGTTCACAAGATTTGGGAGTTACAGAGTCTATTAGATCAGACTTAATCCATGGTTACACTTTTTGTTATGACTAAAAACATGTATGAGACTCAAGGTCCTTGAAGTATGAAAATGAGAAGAAAGTATCCTTTTTTTATTCCTCGAAAGGGAAAGTATTCTCTGCATGTAACCCATGCCACACAGAGGGAGTATTGTGCTGCCATAAAGGTGCCACCAGGGAGCAGTTAGCACAAATTTGATTACTTCTGGTGTAGGTTGATCTGACCCCTGAAACCACCAGCAGTCAGTTAGATAGTTGAAGATGGAGAGAGCTTTTTACATTGGAAGTAAAAACAGGTGCGACAAACAGCGGCAAACTGCTGAGGAATTCCGCGACCTATCAAACAGAAGGGGAGGTGAGTGGCAAACGGACCAATTTAGGACGGATAGTGCCCGGAACTTGTTGGTAGCTGACTAGACTACTTCCATCTCAACATTAAACCTGCGTGGCACAGTCTGCAGAGGAACACCACTGTTGCCCTGAAAGACAGTGGTTTGGAAAACGTCCTGGCTAAATGTCAGATGAGACACACTACGTCAAATGAGGGAGAGTAGAGAGCACAGCAAACTCCACGGGGACAGCAGAGTTGTTAGTTCAAGATGTTTCATCCCGTGGAATTCTGCCTTGGAGATTAGCAAATGTGTGTGTTTTTGTTTGGAAATACTGTAATACAATACAACAAGTGTGTAAAATACAGGCGGTCTGAGGTGATCACTCGTTAAAAGATTTAGTCTTCAGAAGAAAAGCCATCGAGATGAATTGAATTGAATTTTTAAATGTGAGATTAATTAGGTAATTCTTTTAAATCTATAGACACCTCTTGTATTTAAAAAAAAATCTTTCTTTATATACAGTTCCAGAGTAAGTGTGACACTGAAGACTTATCACCATGAAGGCCACATCTTGGACAAGAAAGGGTTTCCTCGCCATCTTCCTCTTTCTGACGGTCCTTGCCTCGATCTTTGTGCTACGTCACATAGAAGTGAAACGCTTGCACGTAAGAACTTTTTATGAAGGCAGAAACTTGTTTAAATTATTTATTATTAGTCAGGTTTTGTGTCTTAATGTTCTTAATTTCAAATGAATGGAATCTGATTCTATATCTGACAAGCATAGCTAGGACTGTTAGGATTTCAAATTTTTGCATTTATTTGTGATGAAGGCGATATTATTGCAATTTTCAAACCATTTCATGCCACTGACAACATAATGACAATATAATAGCACAGTAATAAAAGTATGCTATTTCAAAGAACGTTTTTATTGGTCAGAATAGTTAGACATAAGAATCGGAATGTGAAAAAAAATATCCTATATGAATTAAAAAAAATTCATCAATGTAAATGATAGGCAACGTCTGGTACAGAAAAAAATTTGAAGGCATAATTTTAAGAGTGTCTGGCAGAGACAGAATTCTTCGATTGTAATCAAGGTTGTAAACTTTATTAGTAAACCACTTACCAGGCTTGGGGGCATTAAGATGCTGGCACATTTGATAGTTGGTACAAGACCAACATATGTACACAAGGGGAGGGTGCGTCAACAAGACACAGGCGGACACAATCGGAAAGGGAAGCTGAAATCAGCACACTGGGAAGACTTGAGGGCAGGGTAGTCAAGAGAGAGACATGGTGAGTGTGAAAATCATCGTAAAAACTGAGGTGGATAACGTACTTAATATTAGATTAAGTCCAGACACAAATGTTTTACAACCTACTGGTTTTTACTGAGATATAAATCTTAACAAACTGGCCCAACAACCTGTGAGTGTGAAAAAGCAGACCATACTATAGGGCCCTATCCAGCTATCCAACCCTTGCAACTCAAAAGACTGCAGTTTTGAAAAAAATTTAACGGACTGTTTAAAGCAATGGGAAACTGGTCATATAACCATCACGCTTCAGTGACACAAAAAGAAGATCCGTCAGTTGTAGGCCTAAATTTTTCTGAACATTTACACTCGTGGCTTGTGTAAAACAAATGTTCTCATGGGTCAATTATTAGGAAAGAGTTTTTATAAACCTCCTGGGAAATATTCAAATCTTTGCATTTTTAATTTATATGGTTAATTTTTGAAGTGTTGAAGTGATGTATTTTTGATACTTTGTCTCTTGACCCCATACCAGTATCAGCCTCAAGTCAACGCCACCATCATCATGCCGAGAGTCTCCCCTCATCATATCGTTAATCGCAGCTTCTGCACCTTCCAGCCGCTGTCCCCCCAGGACGCTTTGGAGGAACGTCTCATACTAGACTCCATTGCTTGGCCTGCAACTCCAGTTTTGCCATCTCCTATTTCCTTGGAGCAGACCACTGATCCAGCCCACAGCACCTTCACCATTCTCCCAGGGAGGAAAGGGGGGCAGTGGCATGTCGGGGACCAGCTGGAGGTTATGATACAAACCTTTGACTTCCAGGGTCGTCCCAAGAAGTCTGGGGGTGACTTCATACTCGCCACTCTGCAAAGCCGGAAGCTTGAAGCAGGTGTGGCCGGGCAACTTGTGGATCATCAGAATGGGAGCTACTCTGCTGTGTTCTCTTTACTCTGGGAAGGAGACGCACAGGTTGAGGTGATTCAAAAAAGTATTACTTTATAAGTTTCTGTGTGTAAGATTTATTTGTGACAAAGTTGCATATTGCAACCCGGTCAAAACCCTTCTGCTAACTCCTCCTTTTCCAAGCACGTCTGACAAATGGACCATCTTGGCCATCAGTTAATGCAAAAAAGATTCTCACTAGATCCAATGTTTGGTTCTATCTATCTATTCGGGGTACTCTGCGGACCAATTGAGTAGATTGCTCCCTATGTAAAAATCTGACTTTTTCAATGGTAACAAATACAAAAATATTCTTATTTTCAGGTGAAAATATACCAATGAAATGTTTTGGATACCTTCTCCACTTTGCAGCAATAAATTGGGGCTGCATGATATGAGGAAATGATATATCACATGCAATAATGTTGAATATCAGGATAACCATAATAATGGAAAATAAATGAACAAATATTGAAGTACACAAAGTTTGGCCTGTTTGTTAATATCAGTACACAGTACCAGAAATTGTTTTTTAAAAAGAACGGAGAAGTATTTACAAACCAGACATTGAATTGTTCCTTCACTGATTCATGTCCCGGAAATGCTGACTGGCCAATCATAGCATTTCGTCTCCCAGCACAGAGTCTGACAAGTATCTGGCTCTCATTAAATCTTTTAGGATTTTCCCCATTTCAGGTTGGTTTTGTGGATTAGTAGCTCGTCATTATTAAACAACGTAATGGTAATACTCGTTAGCAACAGATACATTTCTAAAATGTTTGTTTTTTACGTGATAAACGGTGGAGTTTTTAGAAGAAGAGTGCTTCATTTTCAGATTGCTGACTTCTATGGTCACACATATCTGTAAAATTGTTGTCTGTTGAGCTTGTTTTAAATGCTTTAAAAGAACAAAAAGAACAATAACATTCCCTCAGGGAATGCACTGTGGGCGCTATGGTTTATTTTGGCAGTGGGGGCGAGGCTTAACAATAGCAATTATCAATTATAGACAAAGGCAACCAACAAAAAATTATGATTTATTTGCATGTAAACTTAATTTTTCTACAGATGCTCTCCTTTAATATCAGTTTGTTATCTTGTGGTTATTGTACAACTTGACATTGAGACGAGGTTAAATATCTGTATATTGTGGACCAATGACGGTCCGAGCCCCAAATTACAGATCTCTATTGAGTACTTGTTCTCTTTCCAATCAGGTGACTCTGGTTCATCCTAGTGAAGCTGTCACAGTGCTGGACAGGCTGAACAGAGAACAGCCTGACAGGATTTACTTCAAGAGCCTCTACCGCTCAGGCTCAGTCTCTGAAACCACCATCTGTAACGTCTGCCTCCGGCCAACCCAACAGCCGGTGTGTAACTACACTGATCTCCATGTAGGCGAGCCTTGGTTCTGCTACAAGCCAAAGAAACTGAGCTGTGATACCAGGATCAACCACTTCAAGGGAGGATTCAAACAAAACCTCAAGGTCAAGGAGGAGAAGCTCTTTCAGAGGTGAGTGAATCATGAGAGGCTTAGAGGTTTGTGACCTCAGGGAGTTAGCATTCACCCCATAGTTATTTGAGATTTTAAAATAATACAAGGGGAAGAAGCTCTTTCAGAGGTGCGGGAACAAAGAGGAAAAGAAGTCTCATTTTCAACATTGTGTAGTATTCTCTGTTAATTATTAGGGCCTGAGCCGACTGAAAGCGCCCTCTACACATATTTATTTAAGCAGCCCCATCAACTGATTTGATCCAGATGCACTCACCTAGATACCACAGCTTTGATCAAGCTGTGCACATTTTTCCTCCATATCAGCAGAGTAGAATTAAAAGTAATGAATCAAGTTGGTCAAATATGCCACTGTGACCGACATGACTGGACCTCACTGGAGAGAAATTATCCACTTGATGAAAGCAGAGCTCTTTGCAGAGTCACTTTTCCACAGCTCTGCTGTTTTCACGAAGCCGACTAGCTTGTCATACACGTTTAAATGCTGGTTTCTTTGCCATGCAGAGACATATTCAGTGTGTTCAAATTGCAGAATATATGTGCCGGACCTCTACTCAATCAGAATGGTGTGTTCTTCACATGTTAGTTCCTGAAAGCCAGTTGAGAATTCTCCCTTGAGAAGCATGGCACTTCTCTCTGCAGCAGAAGATATGTGTGATTAGCTCTTGTTCTCTGCCTTGACTGTATGGAGTATATCTTAAATTATTTAAACTATATATTTTTGGACATATCCGAGTACAGCAAAGTCTGTAGTCTAGTGGGTGTATCTGTATATGTGTGTGGATGTCCAGGGTTTAAATCCCATCAAGGACAATTTTTTTTATTTTTTTTATTCTGACCGCATTTCCTTCCGTCGGTCAGCCCCCCCGGACATGCAAGGGGAGGCGATTGCCCCGTTCATCGCTGCTCACAGCTTTAATTTATGTTTTATTATCTCCCCCAGTAGAATCGTCCGATTTATTTCTATAACATGTCTGATTACCGGCGGGCGTTCTTTGGGTTGTAGACATACACCAAGGTTGTTGTTGTTTTTCTTCAGACTTTATTTATTTGTATGACGGCCCTAAGTGCATTACAGAGTCTGGATTGAAATGATAGTTCTACTGTACCCCTACATTTTATGCATCAGTTTTGTCTTTGCCAGATAATTAAATATTTCCCCATAGATTATATGATGTGAATTTAGTTGCATCAGTTGGTGAACTCAAACCCAATCTTTTCTCTCTGCAAAACGTTTCTGAGCCTTTGCTTGTACTGATTGTATTGTGGACAATGGATGATGACGTGTTCTATTGTTTCCTGCTTGTCCCAGGCTACTGGACATGTGATGTTTGCTGCGACAGGTCCGCTATTTTTAGGAAATTGTATTTCAGGAGACTGCAACAGGTGCCTGTTGAATGTTTCCTCAGTATTATGTGTGTACTTGTAAGACCTGTGTGTCCAAACCTCATTCTGGTTATGATGTCTTCTGTTGTGGATTCATTAATTTGTAGTTTATACTATTATTCTCTAACTCACTGAACTTATCTATCTAACTCTAAACCTCACTCAAACCGCGTTTATTGCCAACCAGCACTAAAACAGATTCTGAAACGTTGATGGCTGCCATACCTGGACCAAATCTGGCATTATATCAAAGGGCCTAAACTGGTTGAGACATGGCAGCCGGGTGTATCTGCAACCGGCACTGAAACAGGCTCCGGCCCATTGATGGTTGCAGAATCTGGGCCCAATCTGGCTTCATAGAAACAGCCCTATTCAGGCCAAGACATGGCAGCTGGGTTCATTGGCAACCAGCAATAAAACAGGTTTTGGCCCGTTGATGGCTGCCAGACCTGGACCAAATCTGGCATTTTAGCAATTGGCCTATTCTGGTTGAGACATGGCAGCCGGGTTCATTTCAATCAGCACTGAAACAGGTTCTATTACCTGTTGGAATAGGGCTACACGTATACATGTTAACCTCTGTACAAAGCTAAGCAGCTCTTTCACCAATACTCTAACGGAGGTCCCTTGTGGGGCCCTCTCAGGGGCCTGTTAGCATTTCATGCGGGGCCAGGTGCGTTATTTGATTTGTCTGTATTCTCATACTCATCAATGCGAGCGGAAGCGCAGACAACCAGTCCATTTTGGTTTCTCAGCAAATTTTGGCTAATTTGTTCTTGAGGGTACTGTTTTCCCGTTCCTAGTCCTTGCAACCCGAGATGATAAACGCACCCCAACCTCTGTTTGATGCTCAACAGCTGAGTTTTTTTCTTTATTACCATGTTGTCAAAATGATTGCCATTGTCCGAGCTAATTTGTTCCTGGATGCCAAATCTCGGAATCACTTTAGCTGCGGTTATCGCGTCTGCCTTTTGCCACTGGGCATGCTTCGACCATCTCATGAAATCGATCAATTACCACCAACACACCAATACGGTTTCCTGTTTACAAGTCATGTCACTATGTGTCTGAACGGCCCATCTGGTACCGGAATGTGGCCTATTGGCGCGTTATATGACTTTCTGATGTTTTGTTCTGCACATATTTTGCATGATTCAAGCATTTTCTCTATTGTAGGAGCATGTGCGACGACCACCATGCGGCCTGAATCCCCTTCATCACCTCCCTTCTGGCTACATGGGCAATCCCATGAGCCAAATGAAACGATGTAACAGCGAGACGGGCGCCACCAACAACCCATTGTGAGAACGGAAAACCCACGTTGCCAGATCTGTTTACCCACATTTGTTGCTCTTCAGGCGACGCTGCAGCCTGCAGCTCCGCCAATTCTTTTAGTGATGCAGTCGGATCCCCATTTCCCCCGTCCTCCCAATTTTCATCCTTGCTTTGGCTCATCATGCGCATTTCTCAAGCCTGAGAACAAGATGCTGCATTCGTAGCAGCTATGTCTGCTGCATTATTACCCTTCGTGATAACGTTGTTAGCGTCAGGACTTTGATAGATTGTTTGCGAACCCTTGTTTTTCATCAATGTGCTAGGGGTATTGTTTCTAAGGTGGGGCATGGCCTTAGGTTTGAGCTGGATCACCGCTCAGCCGAGTCCATATAGCCGACATCGGTGGAACTTTTTGTCCAGAATGTGGGGAAAGTCATTCAGGAGAACATAAACTATCGGGGGCCCCCTAGTTGTCTCTGACCACTCCAATCAGTTGGTTAACAGTTATTCGGTCAGGTAGTGGCTCTTGTGCCATTGTTATCACTTAGGCGTTGTTATTTTTGTCTTTGTACCACCCTCCGTCTTGTGGTCAACTAGATGGGTACTCGTGCCGCTGTGTGGGTCTCAGGGGAGCCTGAAGCTAGTCATGTGCTGAGACCTCTTGTTCACCAGCAGATGGAGACTTGTACTACCCCACCACACGTCATGGGTTCCTTCCCTCTCGTTGCTTAGTCACGGTACGGAGTCGGGGCCTGTGACCTTACGGATGTCATCACCTATTCCAGGTCTGGGGGCACCTGGGGACCTACAAGGGTGGGGACAGATTCCTTGTATGCATTTGTTTGTTGGGATATTCACCTGTCCCCCTCCATTTTTTTTCTACAGTACATTTTGCAGTTCCACACATTAGTTTGTTTTTGTGCCAAACTTCAGCCAAGGCTATTGTCCCACAAATAAGGTCTCAGCAGTTTTTAGACTGGTATGTCCTTTTTCTTTTGTCTTTAACCTTTTACCTTTTCCTTCAAATAATCCTCCACCAACCTTAGGGCATTCGCCTCAACACTGCCTTCTCCTGCCACGCCCCTTACAGCTTCTTATGCCATTGTCATGCACCGCTGAATGAGAGAAATACTTTCATTTCCATTTCTCTGCATTACTCTCAACGCGGGAGCCATTCCCACCATGGTAATTTGATCTGATGACACCTTTCTTATCTCTCCAAAGTGAATCTTCCCAAAAGTGTGTGCGTACGCCGCAAGATGCGTACTCAAGCATTTAACATTTACATTTATATTTAACATTTACATGAAACATTTATATTATTTAACAACTTTGTGTTACTGCCAAACATTATCCTTGATTAATTCCTTGGTTAAAAGTTATTGCATGAATTTACATTTCTCTCTAAATGTTTGAAAAAGTGACATTTTAATATTGTCGCGCTTTCCTTTCCATTTGATAATGCTAAATGTACCAAAACTGCGCAGGATTTTAGAATGTGCAACATTTTACAAACGGCGGCCTATATTCTTCCTTCTACTTTTTATATTTTTTTCCAAACACTGCATTTACACCTATATGGTCGCAACCTCGCTGCCGTTCTTTGCGACAACGACCTTCCGCTCCGACACACAGACTATTCCCAGCCACCGGCCCGGCCACCACACGTCTCACCGCTTCTAGTAATGTATCTATTATTATGTCCCTAGAGCTGCCAACTTTTCAAAAAACCTTGAAGTGAGATTTTGTCAGGGGTGACCAAAATTTTGCCACGCGTAGCCACACACAGTGGTGACGCGTACCACAATGCCCATTTCTGAACCACGGTTTGGATGAAGAAGCACTGGTATTGAAACGTGCTTTCAGACGTGAGCGGATGTTTCGGGAGAGATCAGACCAGCGTGAAGCTCTCACCATCCCACAGAGGCTCTGTATGGGATGTTTTTGGAAACGGCATGTTTTTATATGCCGAAACTGTAAATGAAAGGCACTATTTGCCGTACTGTCAGAAGGGTGTGTTTGGCACTGAAGTCCTTGGCACACATATTTATTCCCTTGCCTGGCCACAGAAGAATGACTGTTGCATCAAAGAGGATTTCCACAAGACAGTCCACATAATCCGTATAGATGGGTGATTGTGTTTGATGTACAGTACAATCCCTTCCATTACAGGCCTGCTTTGGTTTAAAACAAGGGCCAATTCCTCAGCTGGGGAGAAGCTTGGTGCCCCCCCTTTTTCTTAACTGCTAAAATCAGTTTGGATAAAATATGTGAGCTGGCGTCTTGCGAGTCACATATTATTTGCAAACTGTTTTCCAGCCTGCAAAAAGTTTTGGTATTTTATCTTGACCTGTTGCCAGGATTTTTTTTTGTCCAGTCATGTTTGTTCTATGCACATTAATTGTAGAAAGATATTTGACAGTTTATAGAGAACTTTCCTGTAAGTAGATATTTTTAAATCCTTCCGCATTCAGTCGGTCTGCGATTTTTTGCGAGGCTTTTCTGTTTAATTACAGCTGCCGTTTTTCCTTTTTGCATATTATATGCTTCACCACCTCATAAGTTTCCATAATTATTTGCTGCTCAGCGAGTTAAAAATATGCTGCGTGCGGCATCTGTGATCGATACTGTGGTCAGATCACACTAAGTCAAGCAGCGCCTTTTCACTTATCCTGGATTTTTTTTTTCTTCTTGTCATCGTGTTAGCCATCTACTTGTGCAAAACCCCCGTTCTTCACAGTCAAAACGGAGGTGCTTTGGAGGGACTAAATATGCTCCAATCTCAACTAAACTTGGCACACACATTTAAAGTAAAATATGTAGTTACTTAATATGGCTTCCAAATGGCAATTTGGCTCAACAGTAGTTGCTCAGACACACCTGGCGGAATGCACTCTACTGAGTGCATCTTTCTTGCTGTGAATGTTTATATTTGAGCTCAAAGATGTAGTGTTTAGTAAATATTTTGAAGTACAGCTTTAACTCACAAAATGAAACTATGGCCTAAATTCAGTCAGAAAGACCAGCTGAACAATATGTGCATTTCACATGTTGCCGCTGCCTCTGGTTACGGTGGGCTGCTTTAGAACTAGCCCACCAGACATGCCGGTATTTCCTTCAACCAATTACATCAGTGCCTTTTAACTTGAAAAACTGTTCTGTTTCTGTCAGTTGGTATTTTAGCGAACACCAGCTGCAACGCTTCATCACCCCAGCCACCTCAAATCAGCAGCAAAAACTCCCGGCCCCTGGTTTGTCTTACGGCAGGATGGAGTTCAAGCTCCAAAGCTTCATACCTGTTTCATAAATTATTGTTTAATTTAAGTCTCTCCTGAATGAAATATATTAAAAGGGTGTACATTTTGTTTGTTGTTTGTCACCTTTTATTTTTAACTTGATGTAGTTGTTGTTGACCTTTTTTTATCTGTGATTTCTTCTCCAGTGGTGTGAACATGAAAGTATCCATTCAGGCTACAGGATCTTCCATTGCCACTGTGTTGTCGAAAAAGGAAGGTATACCAAGATTTTACAACTGACAATAACGATATTAATCTCCTTGTTAGAAGTATATCTAGTCTCAAGAGTGAGGCTAATCAATAAAAGGTCCATACCTTTTAATACCTTTTTTATTGTTTTTTCATGGGATAATTCAGGCATTATTCTTTTCTTCAGGTCAACTGAAGTTGAAGACAAGCTCTGGGACATCTGTACCATCTGGTTATTACTACCAGGGCGTTTGGTGGACACTAGGAGGCACCACAATATCCCAATTCAACCGGTCTGCAATCACCCAGTGTCTGAAAGGCAAAGTCGTCCACATGTATGGAGACTCCACAATCAGGCAGTGGTTTGAATTCCTCAACGCAGCTCTACCCGGTAACTGATCCATAAGGATTCCTGGAATTGTTCATTTTTGTTTCCTACTGCAGTTTGATATGTTCCCCCTTTCATACTTTCAGGTCTTAAGGAGTTTGACTTACACAGCCGGAGACAAGTTGGACCTTTTATGTCCTTAGACTATGAAAACAACATCTTGGTGACGTACCGCTGCCATGGTCCTCCTATCCGCTTTGGCCTCATCCCAACTAGAGAGCTTCGTTACATTGCTAATGAGATAGACGACTTGATCGGAGGCCCCAACACTGTTGTAGTCGTTGGCATCTGGTCTCACCTCGGCACTTACCCCATTGAGATCTACATCAGGAGACTACAGAGCATCCGTAGGGCGGTGGTGCAGCTGCTGGACAGGGCTCCAGGCACGCTGGTCATCATACGGACAGCAAATGTCAAAGCTTTGACACTTTATGAGACAATTACCAACAGCGACTGGTATTCACTGCAGCGTGATAAGGTGCTCAGAGCAATGTTCAAAGGACTGAAAGTTCATCTGATTGATGCCTGGGAAATGACCCTGGCCCACCACCTGCCGCATAACCTCCACCCACTACCTCCCATTATTAAGAATATGATAGACCATCTATTGTCCTATATATGTCCTCATAAGGGCGGCTAGGTGTATGTCCTGGTGGGAGAGGAATGTTTATTTGTTTTCTGAGTTTCAACCAACTGCTTAATTTTTCCTTCATACTCCGATAAGAGTAACAATACATTTGTTTAAAAACCTGACTTTCGAGATGGTTTGTGTTTGTAAAATTGAAATACGGTTTAGTGTGAGTGGACAGATGGTCTGTGAGCTCTTGAACTGAGACTTGCTGTTCCTGTAATAAACAGATGTTCAGGATGATTTGTAAAGCAGGATGTGGACATTTTCCTAAGCCTTTGGTTTAGAGGTGACCAGTATACCCTGGTGCCTCCCTCACAAAACGTCAGAGTTTACTCTTACTCATGTCTTATATAGTGAGGCACAATTTGACAAGAATAGTTCTCCAAGACATACAATAAACATTTCCCCGGCTTGGTGCCAGCAACCCCATATCTTTTTCATAAAGCCTTTAGACAATATAGCCAGTATGTGCTGTATTTCTATTGTATTGCCTGTGAATGCAACATGGGACCAAGTGAGAAAGATCCAAAAATCAGATCTTCTTGTAAGGCTGAAAGAAAAAGGTTAAGGGTTGGATCTTACTTTCTCAATCTTAGTCTATCAACCCAAATAGTATACATTTTAGAAAAACCTGAAATACATTTCAATAACAGGATATTGGTTCCAGGAATTGTTTTAGATATTCAGGGTGGGGCAGAATGTCAAAAACCCATGCTGAAAGTGGGGCCTGATGACATAATAATAATGTGGAATTGTGATGGACTTTCTGTTTTCAATGGTCGTTATTCAGATATGTGACAATTGTCTACAAGAGATTGCCAAGGCTTTATATATGTATATATATTTATATGTATCCATCCATCGTCAAACCGCTTATCCTGCACACAGGGTCGCGTATATATGTGTGTGTATATGTATATATGTGTGTGTGTATATATGTGTGTGGAAGCTGGAATCAGCACACTGGGGAGACATGAAGTGGGGTAGTTAAGAGAGAGACGTGTGAGTGTGAAAGTTAAAACTAAGGTGAATAAGAAAAAGTAGTTTCCTAAAAAAACCCACAAATGTTTTACAACCTACTGGTTTGCATTGATTCTTACTGAGATATAAATCTTAACAAACTGACCCAACAACCTGTGAGTGTGGAGAAGCAGACCATACTATAGGGCACTACCCAACCGTCCAACCCTTGCAACTTAAAATACTGCAGTTTAAAATGTAGTTTTAAAGAAATGTCATATAACCACAACGCTATAGTGAAACAAAAAGGAGATCTGTCAGTTGTATGTCTTTTGGAATATCACTGAAAACATGACATTTACATTCATATTTACACATACACTCACATTTTCCCATGGGTCAATTATTAAGATTTTTTTTTATAAACCTCCCCAGAAATATTCAAATCTTTGCCGTTAAAATTTTTATGGCTAAATAGTTATTGATGCATTTCGACACCTTCTCTCTTTCGATCCCCTGCCAATTTCATCCTAAAGTCAACTCCAACACCATCATGCCATGAGTCTCCCGTCGTCATATTGTTAATCGCAGCTTCTGCACCTTTCAGCCGCTGTCCCCCCTGGACACCCCCTCGATTTGGAGGAACGTCACATACTAGACTCCATTGCTTGGCCTGAAAAACCACTTTTGCCATCTTATTTTCTTGGAGCAGACCACTGATCCAGCTCACAGCACCTTCACCATTCTCCCAGGGAGGAAAGTCCTGCAATGGAGTTGCTGATCGGAGTCCTGCTTGGGGCTCCAGTCGGAGACTCCATAGTCCTACTGGAAGACCTCAATGCACACGTGGACGACGATGAAGATAACTGGAGAGGAGAGCGGGTGTATGCTCATCTGGTCTAAATGTATTTTGTGGACCTGAAGAAGGCGCATGACCGGGCCTCCCGCAATACTGAGGGAGTATGGGGTGAGGGGGTTCCTTCTTAGCGCCATCCAATCTGTGTTTGTGTTCTCTGCAGTAAGTCGTAGTTGTTTCCGGTGGGGGATGGCCTTCGCCAGGGCGGCGCCTCGTCACCAATTCTGTTTGTGGCATTCATTATCAGGATATTGAGACTTATTGCGGGCGAGGAGCATTTACAGTTCAGGGGGGTGCGGATCTCATCGTTGCTTTTTGCAGATGATGTGGTTCTGATGGCATCTTTGGTCTGTGACCTTCAGATCTGAAGCGGTTCGCAGCAGAGTGTGAAATGGTCGGGATCAGGATCATCACCTTTAAATCTGAGGCCATGGTTCTCTGCAGGAAACCGTAATGGATTGCCTACTGTGGGTATGAAATGTGTCCTTACCTCAAGTGAAGGATTTCAAGTACCTCGGGGTCTTGTTCGAGAGTGAGGGGAAGATGGAGTATAAGTTTTTCCGGAGAAACAGCGCAGTAATACCACACAGTCTTGATGTACCGGGTCAATCTTCGTTCCTACCCTCACCTACGGTCGCAAAGGATGGTTCGTGACCAAAATTTTTAGCGTCTCCCTTAGAGGTAGGGTGAGAAACTCATCAGCGAGGAGCTCGCAGTACAGCTTTCATTTTTACTTGGAAAGGAGCCAGTTGAGATGTCTGGTAAGAAAGCCCCCTGGGAAAACCCAGACTAGGAGGAGAGATTATAGCTCCGCATTGGCCTGGGAATGCATCGGGACCCGCAGTCAGAGCTGGTAGATGTGGCATTAAAAGCTTTGGAGTACCCTGCTGGAAATGTTACCCCTGCAACCCGGCCCGGGATAAGCGGTTGAAGATGAACAGCCTGACAGGATTTACTACAAGAGCCTCTACTGCTCAGGCTCACTCTCTGAAACCACCATCTGTAATGTCTGCTTCCAGCCAACCAAACAGCTGAAGTGTAACTACACTGACCTCCGTACAGGCGAGCCTTGGTTCTGTTACAAGCCAACAAACCTGAGCTGTGATACCAGGATCAACCACTTTAGGGTAGCATTCAAACAAAACCTCATAATCGAAGGAGGAGAAGCTCTTTCAGAGGTGAGTGAACAGAGACACATGAGAGGCTTAGAGCTTTGTGACCTGAGGGAGTTACATTGACCCTATAGTTGTTTAAGATTTAAACATAATACAAATACTACTTCGGTCTTCCTTTCAACATTTTGAAGTTTTTCTATCATGCTCTTGGTCGCGTTTGTTCACGTGTAAGTTTTATCTTGAGTAAGTGTACACCTTTGTATCTTTCCACAGCAAATCTCGCATTCTGATGCAGCAAACTGCATAATAAATTTGGTGCTCATTCATGACTGCATACTCAAGGACCTTAAATTGTCCCTGTAGCTCCTATTGAAAGTACTTTTTGAATCCGACTTTAAACTGCTAGCACTCGCTTCTCTTGGCCACTCCTTAGCAGCTATTTGTTGCTCTGAACAGTGTGTTTGTGAGGTCTCCAAAGTGAGAACCTGGTCAGGAGACAAGGGTACGAAAGAGGAAAGTAAAGAGGATGAAGATGAATTGGATGGAGTAGTCACAGGATGTAATCACACAATAAAATACAATAAAAGTACAAAACAATATTGATGAACGTGATTACACGAGTGGAATGATCTGCCAAGCTTTTGTTCTAGTGGTTGATTTTTCTAGTCTTAACTTTATTTAAATTGTTTCAAATGTTTATCACATATATTTATCCTCAAAAGCATGGTTTGTGTTTTGGGTGCGCGGACTGTGGATTAGAGCACAAGGTTATTTTAGAATTTCTAGCAAGTGCTGCATCATTCATCAATCAAAGCTAAGGCCACATCAATGCCTAAATCACATAATAAATTGCCCTAAAAGGCCACAACATTGATTGTCCCAATACCCTCACATTCGAACAGGAAAAACTCCATTCAAATATTCTGTGAAAGAAGAAAGAAGCCCTGGGTGGAAGGAACCCTTTTTGCAGGATGAACAGAACTCAGTAGATTTCAATCATACAGAATCAACTGCATAAGAGAGTTGCAACACATTAGGTTCAAAAGACAGAAGTGATTCATACAACTAGAAAATGCATTTTCGGCAGAAAAGGCTAAAAACTTTTTTTAAATTGCTGAAAATACAGCAATGACTCAATGTTCTATATTCTAACATTATCAATCAGTCGCATGTTATTATAATCTAGAAAAGATTAACAGGCTTTTATCTTTATCTACACATGGTATTATATGACGCCCACAGGTCTCCAGCCTGTCCTCTGGTCAGCCATCCTCCTTATCTGGACGGGAGTGAGCGAGTTGCTTCTCTCATCATGGTCACCTTAAATGTAGTGCAGGAATAGAAAGTAGTGTCTGCTACTCTGCTCTCCATCTTGTACAGGGAGTAGAATGTGAGCATTACCTTTTAGTGGTCAAAGTTTAGCCCTGCAACCATTTGTTTTATAATAATAACACCGCTTTGTTTTAATTATATAGTAATGCTTTTACTTCCATTTTTATTCATTTTATTGTTTGCATGTTGTCATTATTCGTGTGGTGGCTAGTGTATTATTACAGATGTGGTTTTGTTTATGGAACAAATATTCTATATTGGAATATATATTCGAATAGTTTAACAACTATTCGAAAGTGAGAATTAATATTCAAAAAAAGAAAACGGCGGCGCGACTGTCTGCTTTGCGGGCGCGCGCCTGACTGACTGTATTGTAGCAACTCTGTAGCGCAAACACAGGCTCCGCTCAGGTGTGGCTCATCTGTAATCAGGAGACACACACTGCAAGCTGGGGGACGTAACACTCAAAACACCCCAAAATGGTGACTTGTCGCCATACATTGAATATGAAAACTCTTTGTTCTGTGTTCAGCTCACTGTTCGAAACAACCCAGGCAATAGTCACTGCATCTTAAGATATTTCATGCTCAAATGCATGTATAACAGATCTTCTTAAACAACACAAGCTTTGAAGCAAACAAATAACCAGATATGTGATTTTTTTTTTTGGTGCAAAGTGCTGTCATACATAAAAATCCAACTCTTTTTTAAAAATATTTTAACATTTTCCCTGCACACCTCCTCTACCTCACCCCTGGTTCTCCTTTAATGATAAACTTGTGGCTTTGCCTGTTGGCGCACAATAGAGTGGATGTCAATGTCAATCTTTTTGCATCCAATTCGCATCAGATAAAAAAAGTGTCATTCGTGGGCCTGTTTCTCTCTTTTGACTTGATGTGCTTCATTGTCAAAAAACTGTTCTCACAAATGTGCTCCCAAACATACAGGACCTTGAGAGAAAAATCTCGCAGCGGGCA